ATTTCATCATCAAATATTTCTATTTGTTATTTCTGATTTCCACCAAATATTATTTGATGAATAAGTTAAAGATGGATTTGAAATAGAATTATTTGATGATGAAATAAATGTTGGAGGTATTGATTCGTTGGAATATAACCATATTGGTTTATATATAGATAAACAAGTTAATGATGTACAAGTTGCATAATGTGTTGGAATTGAATTATTTGATGTTGGAATAACTGAAACTAAAGATCCTGTTGTTTGATTAAATCTAATTGGTCCAAATCCAGCATGCATACATATATCAACATTAGTTAAACCATTTGATGGACAATTTCGAGATTGTTGATGATCACGTAAAACATTAAACATATCAATAAGAGTAAATTGAAAAGATTTTTCATTTGATTTTTTCGATAAATTTTCAATTAAATCTTTTGATCTATGTTGTCTTATTTGACCACATGAAAAATGAGTTTTAATAAAAGCATTATAGAATTGTTTAGGATAAAATGAAAGTCCTGAATAACATTTTTGAAAATGAAAATCGTCAATTGAATGACACCACCGATTTTGAATAGCTTGTTCAATTAAATTGTTTGAATATTGATCAAATGTTTGAATACTTCCAAATGAAATAATATTTGAAATTGTATGAATTCCTTTTTTTATTTTTTTTGCTGCATATTCTTTTCCAACAGTTTCAATAATCCATCCTTCTTCAGAATCAACTAATAAAAAACTTGAATGATAATAAAATTTTGATGTAAAACCACAATTTCCTCCTTGTCCATATTTATTTAATAAATAAATAATTGTTTCTTTTCCTTGTCTACTTGTTGAACATCTTTCAAGTACTAATCGAACTAAATCCATTCCAGTTAATCCTTCCAAATAAGATGGAATTTTAGTAAATAAAGCTTCATTTCCAATAACAAGACCATGACAATTAAAACCCATTTCAGCACCAAATATATTTGTAGGAGAAAATAATATACATGAATGAGTTTTTTCAATTTGATCGATTTCAATATAAGTCGTTCGTAATTTTGAATTAGGTAAATGAGTAGCAGCAGGTACATAACGTATCGCTAATGGTTCATTTACTTGACGATCACTATTTTTACCAAATATAATTGAACCATCATCAGTTACATCACTCATCGCAACCATTGTATCACATGAACTACTAAACATTTTTTTTCTTTCTCTAAACATTTTAAAATTATATTTTGAACATTTCTTTAAATATTGTTAGTATAAATGAAAAAAATTCGAGTCATAAAAATATTTCTAATAGTTAAAATTTGAAATATTTATCCGATTGTTCTTCGATTAGATCTCTCATAGATTAAATTCAAAATTCCACATTTAATGAAAGTGATGCCAGATCAATTCAGAAAACATTTTCTAGACTCGAACTTATAGCCTTGTGGCGTCCTCCATCAAAAGCATCGTTTATCGGCATAACTGACCTTTTAGATTACTCGATAGTTATCCGTTTTTGTAAAAAATAGGATCTATTTGGATTTTCTACGATAAAATTATGAAGATGAACTATCAAAATCAAGGGTTAATTTATCTTATGAATTAAAAGATTTGATCATAGAAGTTTGCTACACATTTTACATAAGAATTCTCCTAGTTTAAACCTTAGATTTGACTTTGTTTGAAAAGATAAATAAGGAAAGGTTTTGGACATATAACATATTTCTGTATGAACAGAAAATATTCCGTTTCAACAATAGTTTTGTAGAATTCAATCTAATAATTCATTCAAAAATGCGTTGATATTGATGAATTAATTCATTTGAGAAAAAAAAAGATTTAGAAAATTCAACACAAAAATTACATATCTTTTTATGTATTGTGTTTTTATGTACCGTTATACTTGGTAAAAATATCTTTTAAAAAACTATTCAATTTATACATACCTTACTTTGAAAAAATGAATGAATAAATGAAAGATCTCATTTTTTCTTTTTCTTCTTTTCTTATCAACAATAACAACAGATGCCTTATCTTCACTCTCATCGCAGAATACTTAATTTCTAGCAAATATTTATCTAGTAGATATAGACCAGAGCTGCTAGCCTGGCCTGCTGACTGCCAGGCTAAAGTTCTTAGTCGGGGTATGATTTAATACTACCATTTGCAGTATTCAATTCTAAGAATAAGACGACTTCATGAGTCGATGATGATTGCCTCTAATATTTTCTGTTGACTATCAAGTCAAATCAATGTTTTTAAAATGAAATCTTCCATTTTTGACAAAGTGGATCAAGCTCTTCAATATATGGGATCGACATTTGTCTAAAATTTTTGTTGTAGACCGGCATTTTGTCCTTCTGATTAGCATACAATACCAGGTGACTACTGACATGGGGAAATTTCATCCATCTTTGATCTAGAAACTGCTTAGTATTTCTGGATGTTCCCAGTGTTGTTAAAATCAGATATTGGTTAGTTCCTTATACTCTTTAATTTGTGCATATATATGAACCCCACCACGTAATCCACGCTCGAAGTTGCTCAACCTATAGCATCAGATCATCCTATCGGTTTTCTGTGGTAAAGTTGGCAGGTCTTTCCATCTACAAAAACGATTCTTCTCCATTTTTATTATTTTGTGATCTGACACACAGAAATCTTGTTGGAAAATGATTGTTTTAGCGTAAGAAACTCATGAAATGTTGATTACATCTTTGTTTTTTCTGCTGTAAAATAAGTAGCGTAAGA